GTGAGGTGACCCTATATCATTACTCTCCTGAGGGGGTGGGGGTAGGAGTGAGGGGTGTGTGTGTGTGTGTGTGTTGGGGGGGCTGGTGAGGGGATGGACTTGTTGCCCAACCCTCCAAGACTTTCTCTCTCTTAGTTTGTAAATGTCAGCACAGATTTAAATTCTGTACGGGTCACTTAAAACACACACACACACACACACACACACACACACACACACACCTACACACCTACCCACGTGAGCAAGATTGGGCCTTCGGGTAACCAATTTGAGACCCCCAGAGAATAAGGACCAGAGAAAATGGTAATTGCTGGAGTGAGGGTTCTCCAATTTCAGCGGCCACTGAAATCCCCCCAGGCAGGGTGGATTGAGTCAAAGTCAGGTGTGAGTTTCCAGGCAGGTGCAGCTGGAGGAAGGCCTGGGTGGGTGGGAGGGGGTGTGTCGGGGCGTGGGTGGCGTTGCAGGGATTTCAGCCTAGGTTCCCTCCGCTCTACAGCAGGGATCGCGTGCAGAAGGAACAACTGGCAAAGGCCATGCCCACCTTCTTAAAGATGTGTGAGCCTTACTTCCTGTACCTGGAGGCCGCTGCCCGGAGTGCGCCCCCTATCTACGGAGCCCTGCAGGAGCTCGTTCGAAAAGGGGTATGTGGAGCAGTTTTCTGGTCCCCACACCCCTTTCTCTGACAGGCCCGGGGCCTGAGGGTGCTCTTGGCAAGGCCGCTGATCTCCCGATGCCCTTCCATACAGCTGTTGGAGATCTCCCAGCAGCTGACCCTGCGCCTAGAACAGCTGGTCCTCATGTATGCTTCCTTCGGGTACGTGGACCTGGAGGAGACGGAGCCCCTGAGGTAAGGAGAGTGGGAGTGGAGGGGGAGGCAGTAGGGCCCAGAGCCCAGCCTCACACCCCACCCCCCACTTCAACCCCAAATCCTGTCTCCTGCCAGCATATCCTGTTTCTTCTGCGGGAGTTTTTCCCTCGGCCCTTCCCATGAGGTATCCATCTTCAGATACTGTGCCCCAGCTGCCTATACCGCCAGTCGATACCCCCGCTATCTCTACAAGAAGATGCGCTGGAACCTGGAGACCACCCCAGAGCCCAGTAGCCGGGGGCAAGATGCCCATGTGGATTAGTGAGTCCCCCTGCCAAAAGCGGAATGCCCCCCACCCCAAAAACCCACCCCATGCTAAATGCAGACATGAACCCCTAAACCACTACCAGCAAGTGTGGGAAGCCCAGGGCTTTTGAAAGGTCAAACCATCTATCGTTTTTTTATTTTTGTTTTTAAAAGTAACCCATCAAAATAAAAGACCACCTCATCTGAAAGCAGACTGGGAGGGGCAGAACCCTGAGTCCCTGAGAAGCCCTGGTGGCTTAGTGGGTGTGCTTAGGGTTTTCCACTGCAAGGTTAGCAGTTTGAAAGCATCTTTAGGATCGCTGGAGAAAGATGAGGCTTTCTACTCACGTAAACAGTTACAGTCTCAGAAACTGAAACCCACTATGAGTCAGCGCATTTGGTGTGTTTTTATGTTGTGTCCCTGTCCTATCTTAGAACTTCACAGCAACTTCATATAAGTTTCCACCTCACCTCCAAAATTAAAATTGGCAGGAAAAGCTGAGAAACTGATCACTTTTCACTGCTGCTGCCTCCCCTCCTAGCTACTTCCTGTGCTATCGAGACACTTGGGAAGACACTGGCAAGAGTCCCGCCAACTCCTGCGTCCAGATCCAGAAGCTGTGGTCCATTGGCCGATGGGTACCCCTAGGACCAGTGGAGGATGACCTTTATTCATGGTAGGAGTGTGGGCAATGACAGGGTCAGCTTGGACTTGGGAGGGGCAGAGGCAGAACCTCTTAAACTTCACCTGCCGTCTCAACACTTCAATTGATAGCATTTTATTGTGCCCTTAAGTGTTTTATGTAGAGCCACATCAAAAACCTTTGGAGTTCTGACCGGTGAGATGATAACAGGTGCTCAGAGGTTAAGTTACCTGCCCAAGTGGCACACAGCTTAGCTGAGTAACTGGCCGGATCCAGGCAACTTTCTGGCTAAGTTTCTCATCAACAAAGAAGCAACCCCCACCTACGCCCCACCCCCGCCTCCGCCAGGGTTTTACCACCCTCAGCGGAAACGAGGCCTCTGGGAGCTACAGCCTCTCCAATAAGGGAAGGGGCTCTGGAGGGACAAGGGGAGCTCACGGCCGGCCCGTTTGTTTCTGGCTCCCAGGATTTTGTGCCCGCAGCCTCCGGGGGACTACCAGCAGCTGCTGACCATCGGCTTCGAGGAGCCGTCGCATGTGTTGGCCACTGACCTGCTAGTGCAGATCCTCACCGGCCAGGCAGGCACCGCCCGGCCTCCGAGCGCTGCCGGGCCCTCTGCGTGGGCCGCGCAGGGATCTTGAACCCGCGGCCAGGGTGGGAGCTGGAGCCTGACAGTTCTAAACTCCAGGAGGCAGTGAACAGGGGCTCCCTCCTCCTACAGCCCTGCCTCTCCTTCCATGGAGCCAGGCCGAGCTGACCCGTCGGTACTGTCCAACAGGGGCGCGAGGCCCTCGGTGCCTTCGGTGCGAGCACACCGGCTTTTTGTGTTAAATAAAAATAAAAGGTTACAGGCTCAGCGTCTGCCGGGATCACCTAGCCCCAGACCGTGGGGCGGGAAGGTCCCGCCTACTCGCGTGGCCCGCTGGGAGATGTAGTTTTTAGTGAGAAAACGGTGCGCGGCCGGCCGGGCGACGGTGCAGCGCATGCGTAACGGTGCCCCTGAAGCCGAAAAGAAAGTAGTGACGCCCGTCAACCGGAAGTCGGAAAATCGCGAGTTTCAGATAGCCAGGAAATCCAACGCCGCCTCTGGGTGGGTAGGGGCGGTGGGTCCGCCCGGTTTTAATACTTTGACCCGGAACTGATTTCTTAAAAACACAAAAGACTTCGTTTCCCGAAGTGCCTCAGCATAGGGCCGGAGATCGATTTCCGAAGGGCCGAGGGCCGATCTTCCTCCTCCGGCTTTTTGGCTGGTGGAGTCCGAGGGGTGGCCGCCCGCCGGGTCGCGGTCCCCGGGGCGCGGGCGGGATGCGAGAGTGCTGTAAGGACCTCCAGCTTGGGATCTCTACGCCTCACCCCACCTTTGGACGAGACAAGGGACCCCGGTTGAGAGAAGCCCAGAGGCACGCGAGAAGGGGTCAGCGTCCTTTCTGACTTGACTGTTACTCACCTGGGAGTGGCCCCCCTTGAAATCAAGGGACACTGATCTCTTCCCTCACTCCCCGCGACATTTTTAGAGTTGAAGGAGAGACCTGGAGCCCTGTCCTAATACTCCCTGGCACCCAGTAGTATCGCCAACCCGTTTTACTGATGAAAACGGAGGTGACAGGTGAGGTAAATCAACAGAAAGTGGTGACGCCAGGATTGGACACCAACGCCCTTGCTCCTTCCCAGGGTCATCTAATGACAATTTCTGACTTCATCATAGATTTTTTTTTTTAACGTGGCCAAAGGGGTTCTGAAGCTCCCGGATACTGATTTAAAGCAGCCCATATAATGTTCCCCATAGCTTAACCCTCTTTAGAGGGGCGCCTTTCAATAGAAATGGAAACCGATCCACGTACTTAATTTGAAATTTTGCGGTAGCCACATTGGGGGGTGGGGTGGGCGGAGAAAGGGTCAAATGAATTTTGATTATATTTTTATTTTATTCACTATGCCCAAGTATTTCAGTCCGCGTAAAATGTCGAGATAGTCTCCTTTGGCAAAACAAAACAAAACCCCCCCAAAAAGTTTCAGTCTTGAAACTCCACTGTGGCTGGCACACATGGAGCGAGTGCATCTTCATTCCCGTTCACCACCACACGGCTTGAGATACTTACTCTCACAAGACAAATCCGCAGGGCACTTACCTCTAAAGTTTCCGGTGGGTGGTGGCAGTACTGGGAGAGGAAGGAAACAGGCTTGATTTCCTGGGTTCTGTTTCCACCCATGATTCTCCGACTTTACCAGGCCTCAGAATCTTGGTAGTTTGTTCTAGGAGAAGGCGGGGAAGGCCCAGGATGTGCAGTTTCAAATACTTCCCAGGTGAGGCTGCCGCGGCTGCTTCAGACACCGCACTTCATCGTGGTGGTGGTCTGCAGCTTGGTTCGCAAACGGCTGCCAGTCAGAATTCCCTGAAGCAGTGGTTCTCAACCTTCCTCAGGCTGTGACCCTTTCATACAGTTCCTCATGTGGTGGTGACTCCCCCGCCCCACCATAAAATTACTTTCGTTGCTACTTCATAACTGAAATTTTGCTACTGTTATGAATCGGGCGACCTCTGTGAAAGGGTCGGTCGCCCCCCACAGGTTCAGAACCACTGCAGCCCAGAGGGCTTTCAACTGTACTGATGCTAAGACCCTCAGATTCTGAGTTAATTCAAGATCCTCAGATGATTTTGATCTGCAATAAAAGGAGCCCGTGTGGCACGATGGTGAATGCTTAGCTGGTAACAGGGACCTAGGTTTAAACCCACCAATGGCTCTACAGGAGAAACGGCCTGGCAACCTGTCAATCGGCTCTCATCAAAATTACACTCGATAGAGCCCCATGAGACAGTTCTCTGCCCTGAAGCATCACTGTAGTCAGAGTCAATAGCACACAGGCTATACTCCCAAAGGCCTGTCTGTACCGCACGTTTCTCTTGTTTAGCTCGCCGCAGGCTTAGTTCTCCGCGTCCTTCGAAGAATAAGTGCCGGTGTTCCCATTTCTCCCTTCGGTGGTCCCAGTTCTTCCCTGCTTCTCTCTCCAGACAACACGATTGTCATGGTCAAGGATGGGGTCAATGTGCTGATGGCAGGGTCAGAGAACAGGCCCTTCTTGAGTTCAGCTGCTCTTGGGTGCAGTTCTATTGGGGGACCCCGGGGGGGGGGGGGTTGTTCCCATTCTCCATTTTATTCATTAGCTACTTCCCGTCCTCCTGCAGGGTCAGGCATTTTGCTAGGCCAGGGGCATACAGCAGTACAGGATCTAGGAGTTTCAACACAGGGCAGTGGTGGCTTGGTGGGAGAATGTCCACCTTCCATGCATGAGACTGGGGTTCAAAGGCCGGCCAGTGCACCTCATGTGCAAGCCACCTGTCTTGACCGGGGAGGCTATGTCGCCAAACATAACCAGGCTAGAAGGAAAGGTCTGGTGATCTGAAAATCAGCCAGTGAGAAGCCTGTGGATCGATTACACGGGTCACCGTGAGGAGGGCGCTGACTCGATGATGCTAAACGGTGCACTTCTCCAAAGCTGTTTGTCAAAATCTAGCAGCATTCCACCACCAGGCATAGTTTTACAAACCACTCTGGGGGTTCACAGACCCACTTAAGCCCCACCCACGGGGCCTAGAAGCCCTTGTCCCGGGCCACAGACATTAACGAGGGCTTGCAAATAAACAGCTGGCCCCAGGAGGCCCTACAGCCAACAAGTGGTGCTGGTGCATTCCTGTTCCTATCAATGTTTAAAGCTTTTGTTTAAAGCAGGCGCAGCCTCGTTTCCAATTTAGCAGACTTCTCTTTCGGAAGCCCCAACGGATTCCCAGTTGCTGTTGAAAAGCGGAAGCTCAGGCACCACGGAGCACAGTTGTTTTCCAACACACCGCAGACCCCACCCCTCCCTAGTGCTGCCCTGCCAGACGGGCTGTTCCTGCTCCTCATTATCTGCCCAGCCCTGTAGGCACCTTAGGCTTGCAACTGCTGGGCAGATTATCCACGTGCCCTGCTGAGGAGCTTGTTCCTGTGCCCCGAACTTTCTTTGATGGTGGGGTGGGGTGGAGAAGGGGCGGGCGTTGTGAAGCTATTGTTATGTCCCCAGGGCAGGCACAGCCTCTTATCTATGTCTAGCCAGCGCCCAGGGCGGGCACGCCGCTGGCACCAGTACATTTCGCCAATTGGGGGAAGGACAAGAATAGCCAGAACGCGCCCGTGTGTCCGGAAGCTGCAGTTCTCGGCAGCGCCGCTAAGGGCCAGCATGGCCCAAGGAGGGGGGACACGGTGGTGGAGAAACGGGGCGATCGGAGTGCATTGAGTATTCAGAACCGCGCCTCCCCGGATTTGTTCAGCCCACTCCAGCCGAAAAGAACCCAAAGAAAACCGCCTGCACTGCCCAGAAAGAAAGGGGTTTATTGAGGGGTGGAGGGCGGGCCGGCACCGGGCACCGGGGGCTCTAACACTCAAAGTTGGAAAGGGAGACCGGTTGAATTTGCTGAGATACTCGGAGCTGGAGGATGGGCCCGGGGTGGGTTGGGAGGGTTTCACTTACAAGGACAGGGTAGTGGTCAGGCAGTGCTTTAGAAGGGGACTAACCAGTGTTAAAGACGGGACTGGTTATCTCACAAAGGTTGGTTCTGGTCAATTTCCTGGTCCTCTCCAGTCCTCCCCACGATTAGGGGGCACTCCTGGCCCACGGGCCTGCTCCGGACGTGAAGCTTCCTCAGGGGGTCCCAGCCTGGGCAAACCTAAGGCTTGCGCTCCTCCTGGGGAGAGGGGACCAGACAGAAGGCCAGCCTCAAGGACTTGGGCCCACTGGCTGCCTCTTCTCCTCCCGGCCTGGAACGGCGCCTCGGCAGGAGGGGCAAACGCCTTCCTTGGCGCAGCGTCCCGGCGCGCTGAGAGTGGGACGGACCTGGGCTCCCGCACCGCAGTGAGGGGCTCCTACCTGCTGCAGGCCGTTCTCCGAAGCTTTCCTGCTGCGAGGGGGCCAGATCACTGCTAGCTTTCCGTCGCCCGTACTCTCTGCAGCAGAAGGGGGGTGCTCAGCCGGGCTGCCCCTCCTCTCACCTGCTGGCCGCGGCTAGGACCGAGGCCGGCCCAGCCCCTTAAACACACGCAGGCGTTCACCGCCCTCCTCCCTCTAGAGGCCCCAACCAGCTCTCGGTACCCAGAAACCAGAGACGGCCAGGAGGAAGGAACCTCCAAGTATTGAGAGGTCCCGGCATGAAAGAAGGGAGGCAGGGGTCCTTGGGAATCCAACCAAGGACAAGGCACCCAGGGAGCCCTGACCCGAGGGAGGTGGACCCTGGAAGAGCCACGCTAGGTGGGGGAGGCACCCAGTAGTGGGTAGCCCAGAGCAGTGGGCAGGAAACCGAATCGAGAAGAGTCACGGGTGTCACCGAACCCGTGGGAGAACCCCAAGAAGTCGGAGGGCCACACCAAGGGCCACCGGAGATGAACAGCAGCGGGGCGCACCTGGAGCCCCAGGGGACCCCGGCGCTCGCGTCTCACCGGTGAGGCTGGGCGCGGGCTCCTGGAACTCGGCCGTGCCGTAGACGCAACGCCGCTGGCGCTGTAACTCCAGCTCGCGCGCGCGCACCTCGCGCACCTCCTGCTCCA